ATATATATATGTATATATGTATATGTGTGTGTGTGTGTGTGTGTGTGTGTGTGTGTGTGTGTGTATGTATATATACACGAAAAGTGTTTGAGGGATATTTCTGCTACGTTTGAAGCAGAAGCAAGGGCACTACATTTACAAATTAAGCATCTTATGGTATATCTTAATGCTGTACTTGGCCTTGACAGCTGAGTTATGTCATCTTATCTTCAGGACCGTGGACAGCTCGTGGAATCGTATTCAACTATTTCTCCCTGCGTCCCTTTGCGATTCATTTCAATATTCACAGCTGCCTCAAAAACTGAAGTTGCTTTATCTTGATTTATTGCCCTTCACCAAAGTCTCAAAAACAAGAGGCATCAGTCTCAACGCGCTGAGCTATTAATATAGTGCACATGTTAAGGATGCGGATGCAGTGTGGAAACAAACAGAGGCGCCCAGACAGATGATAACAGCACCTGCAGGTATGCCATAGAACTCTCTGGCCATTGCAAACATAATAACATTGTAAAAATATAATCAATAACATAATTGAGGGTTAATTCAGGATTATTGGGACATTTTTCCCCAGTCGTCTCAATGACAAAAGTGTCCTAATTTACTTGAATTCATCCCTGCATTATGAGAAAACGAGTTGGAAAACGTGATTTTGTTTGTTTTATGAATCACGTTGTAATTCCAGTCAACATTTGCTATTTTAACTCACAATAAGCAGCACTGTCAGTAAGTGGGCGAAAATGTTATAATTCGTGAGATATATTTGCACACATGACAGAATTCACAGAATAATATACTTTTTCAAACATCTGCCGGTAAACGTATTGATTGATAAGAATCGATTTACTTTTAAAACATGTTTTATTATTCAGTATAAAATGCGCATGCATTCTGTCAGCGAAAGTAGTTTACAATAATTCCAGTTTAGATGCAGCTAGGAGCCTCGCTTTCTTTATAAGAACTCAAATTGAGCTCGTCTCTATAGTTTATCATGAACTGTAAATCTGAAATGAAAACAAGTTTACTTTGATAAGACTCGCTTGGGGCACCTGGTTCAACACACTTAGAACAAACACACATGACAAATAAATACACAGGTGACAGCTTAAAACATCACAACCGTTCAGTAGGACAATACACATAGAATATTAAATAGTTCACAACTTTCACTCCCTGCCATTTTGAATAAAACATTCCCGGACGATCTTTATGCAGGCGGATGAAATGTATGTCTTTATCAAGTCACAAGTGCTCAGAAAGTGCCAAAGTACCCCGCCCTAGAACCACACGATATTACGACAACAAATAGTCAATTTTGAAGGGGTGAAAGCCCGGCACGGGCGCTGCCGCAGTCGTGTGTGGGATCGACAGGCACTCGGATGTCAGCTGGAATGGGAAAAAGTCCCGTTGGTGACGGCAGCTGATGGCGGGGTCCTCCGGGGGCCCGTAGGGTTGAAGCACCTGCGTGTGAGGAAGAGCCACAGGGGAGCCTCGCATGACATAAGGCAGCAGCATGTCCACTCCCCCCTGCCAGGTGTCAGCTTTGTGAACGGGGCGTTCCTCTTTCCTGAAAGGTCGGCTGAGGATGCTGTCAATGGCGAAAGAGCTCGTGAACTTGGCGCTGGAAGGAGGCGTAACAATAGTGTCCACTGCAGGAGCTTGGCTCGGCCCCTCTGGCTCCTTGCCTGTTTTTTTGCTGATGCGCTTTCTCCTCCGACGAAACACTCCGTCCGCAAAGGTGTACTCGCTCTGCGGATTCAGCATCCAGTAGTTGTCCTTCCCCCACGGTCTGGAGGGATCCCGCAGCACCTTGAGAAAGCAGTCGTTGAGAGACAGATTGTGGCGCACTGAATTCCTCCAGCCGGTGTAGCTGCCTCGAAAAAACGG